GAGAGAGAGAGAGAGAGAGAGAGAGAGAGAGAGAGAGAGAGAGAGAGAGAGAGAGAGAGAACGTTGATCAAATAGACATATCGACGACATCAACACTGCGCGACGCACGTGCGCGCGTTCATATGTGGGAACACACCGTTACACAGTTACTCACGCATTCACGCGCACGTACGCACCTAATATTCTCATAATGATTAGACCTCAAACGCATTAGGACTGTGCGCAAACTCATAAAAACATATAGCGTGTGTCGTATAGACTATACTACCTTCGCTGCGTAAAACAACGACCAGTGCACATTGAGACCCCCCCTCCCCCAACGAATCGTTTGAACATCTATTTTTGGTGTCCAATATCGCAACGTAATTTCGACCGATATTCAACGTTGAAACAAAGTCTATGTTGTGTGAACACTATTCTAGTGTAATTATATCAGGAGTAAAATACTAAGGAGAGAGTATCCATGTTATTAACTTAACTCTGCCTACCTATGACTCGCGGTAGCTTTACGAATGTTAGCCGTTCATTGCCACCGTACGTGTATATGTACTACTGTTGCGCGCACAAACATCAAAAGTAGGCCTACAGTTGAAATCGAGGTTATGAATACTATTTAATAAATAATGGATTGAAATAGGCTTAAATTTATAAAAATTAAAATACACGAGGTGCGTGTGATGTTTAATGTTTTATTTAGTACATGTGCCAAAAAATATAGGCGTCCTTGAAAATTGTACTTATACTCGGTACAGTAATGTATACCTACAGCGACCAACAGTAAAAACCTGCGTATAAAAACCTGCATTTTTCCAAGTTATCCTAAAAAGGTTCTTATATAATTGGCGTTTACTGGGAAATTAGACTATTTAGGTTCTTAAATGGGTTCTTATTTTTTAAAGAAAAAAATGTGCTTGTTGCTGGTAGAATATTAGTGCGGTCCATTGTTTATATAAAATATGCATATAATTATGTGTAAATAAAATGACTGCAATCTAGACAAATACAAACGCTATTCGAGGTTATCTTATTTCTTTTTATGCCCTTTATACCTAATAAACATTACAATATTTTATTACAATATAATACAATCTTTTCATTGCCCGATAGAGCTTGTTTTAGTTGATTTATAAATATTTAAGTGTTAATTTATTTTTATCAAAGAAGAACCTGTTTCAAATTTTAGGCTAAATGTAGAATCTTAGCTTAATTAACAGATTCTTAATCACTTAGTTCTTATACGCGGGTTTTTACTGTATTGCACATATAATATCACAGCGTTGTGGTAAGAGCTTATAATGATAGACCATTAATTGTTGAATACACGTACACGACATGTTAATAGATGAATTCAAGAGCGATAGTTGTTGAGTATGCGTAAAGACAGAAATAACTGCGTAACTGTATAGCAGAATAGTTCAAAATGTTATTCAATAAATATCTACAAGTGTCGCTACTCAACATAGTCATACACAATACTTCAGTTCAAGAGTAGCATAATTTGAGATTCAAACACTTCTGATCTGTTAAATAGTGATATATACCTGACATCTGCACATTTAACATGCATAATAAATTTAATCTAACTGATCCTCAAAATCACGCAGGAATAGCTATATATATAAGACAATAACACGAGTGCAAACAAAGACGTTGTCATTAAGCATATGAAGAGTTTTGGTGGGATTCCAAATTCAAATTGGAATTATTTTAAATTGTCGTAGGATTTGAACTAATCATACAATACGAGGTGACTAAACGTTTATCGAGCGTTTTTTTTTTATATAGCCACGCCTACGCAATAGGCTGTAATTCGTGATACGCCCACCCCGCAATCGGCTGACTAGTGTCTCCCTGTGTCCTGTAACCGTCGATGAGCTCGCACGCACGCGTTTCAGAGTTGTAGCTAAACGAGGCGCATTTACTTCTCAATGCATAGCAGGATGTGGCACAGTGTGGACTGGAGTGGGCCACGAAGGTTCTGTAGGGTGCAGTTTGTCCCTCTAGTTTCGGCCCGATATTGGAGAAAAATATCCCCTCGGCTGCAGCTGTGATAGAGCCATTATTTATTCAATATAAGACCTATACATATTTATATATATATATGCTCAATTAACACATCGAAACGTGCCAAATAAGGAAAAACTATGAGAGTAGGAAGAAAGAGAACGAGAGAAGGATGCAATAGGAAATGGACATAGTATAGAACGAGCACAAGAATTAGAGTGACAGACAGACAGACAGACAGACAGACGGACGGACGGACGGACGGACGGACGGAAGGACGGATGGACGGACGCACGGACAAACAGACAGACAGCCAGACAGACAGACAGACAGATAGATAGACGGGCGGGCAGGCATACAATCAGACAGACAGACGGGCGGGCAGGCATACAAACAGACAGACAGATAGACAGACAGATAGAGAGCTAGTAACAAGGAACGGAGAGGCGAGATGAGAAGGAGGTCTATTTTATTATACTTGCTCTTGCACTTGAAGCCATTTCCAAGGTATCCGTCTAGGCAGTTGCAAGTGAACGATCCAGCCGTGTTAACGCAAAAAGCATTGGGGTCACATGGGTGTGCACCACATTCATCAGTATCTATAGGCAAAAGGACGAAAGCAAGTTAATTCATCTTCGACAGCGAAAACAATCTTTTCCTATTCTAACACGAGCATTGACGCAACAAGGCACTTGCCAAAATAAGGCAACATAACTCAGATTATTTGCACAGAAACCCTTTTTTTTTTTACAAAAACCCATTACTTCATCATGTGCTGCGCATTTTCCTAAAGAAAATTGCATGGGTTTGTTAAGGGGCGATAAAGCCCACGGGAATCATACAGCGTATTTTCTTTTCCCGGGATACGCCGGGCACATGCAAGTTGTCAACATTTGGTAGAAACAAACCGTGCGATGGGCGATGTCCGGCATTAACCTACCTGCGCAAACTAAGCCATCACCCGTGTAGCCAGTGTGACATGTACACGTGAAGCTCCCAATCGAATTTACACAATCGGCATTCGTGTCGCATGGTGTCATAGCAGTGCATTCATCTACGTCTACCAAAAACAAAAAGTCGTACGGCGTTTAATGATAATTCTGCGCGAATTAGAAATATTAAACTATAGACGCTAATTCATTTTTAGGTTTTCAGTAAGAGCGCGTTAATAAAATTCATCAATAAAATAAATATTAATTAATAATAAATCCATCTTATCTTTATATGACACATTCGAATTCTACGACGCTCGTGAGTACTGACTTTACTAAGTCGATGCTAGTCTAGATATTCGGTTTTCCTTTGTTGAATGAGTTTCATCCAACGATTTTGGATAGCGAGACAGGATAATATATCTTGCACTATGATAACACAAAAGATATCATGTGTGTGTGTGTGTGTGTGTGTGTGTGTGTGTGTGCACGCTGCCGCCTTGGCCCGCTAATCACCGCTAAAGCGCAGACACACGTGAACGCTGAACGCCCCTCACGCGCAGAGAAAGAGAGAGAGAGAGAGAGAGAGAGAGAGGGAGAGAGAGAAGAGAGAAAAAAGGAAAGAGAGAGCGCGCGCGAGAGAGCGAGAGAGCGTGAGAGCGAGATGTGTAGGTGGGGGAGGGGGATGAAAGATATAAAGTAGAAAGGGCCAGTAACAAGGAACAGAGAGGCGAGATGAGAAAGAGGTTCATTTATTATAGTTTCTTTTGCAGTTGAAGCCATTTCTAAGGTATTCTTCTAGGCAGGTACAAGTAAACGATCCAACCGTGTTAACGCAAAAAGCATTGGGGTCAAATCGGTATGCGGCACATTCATCAATAGCTAAGCAAAGCGACGAAAGCATTCATGTTGATCTTGACTACCTTTATCTAGAGACAATCCCTAAATGTGGATGATTCGCATGTGCATGATTATGAATTTTCCCGTGTTCATTTGGTTGTAGATTGGCTGCTCTCTAGTCAACAGCGAAAACAATCTTTTCCTATTCTAACACGAGCATTGGCGCAACAAGCTCCATTTTCTCGACACTTGCTTGCTTGCCAAAATAAGTCAAAATAACTCCAGAATACAGTAAACACTCGCATAAAAGAACCCGTGATTTTCTGTTTCAGGCTGAAGAGGTTCTTATATATATGGTACATAGTGAGAAATCAGCCTGAAGAGGTTCTTAAAGAGGTTATTATTATTTTATTTGGGGGGGGGGATATTGTGTACATTATCTAGGTAAAATTGGCTTTAATTAGTGAATAATTGACACTAATTA